GGCTGTGCGCTTCCTGCTGCTGGTGGGAGGACAAGCCTTGTTGGCTGCGCGAGCGGTTGTGGACAGGAATTTCTGCCCAGGTGACAAATTCCGACTTCCAATGGAGACACCTTCCTCAGAAACATCGGGTGTCTCTGTTCCAAGCACCGAGGCGGCAGTCTCGGCATCTGCTGCCCGCCGACTCGGTGCTAAAAGAGCAGCTGCGCATGCTGCCCTTGGACCTCTCCAAGAGGAGAAGGCTTCCCCGTTTTCTCCCGGGGAAGTCAGTGCCAAAAGACGATGCCGCGGTCTCTCTGAGCAATGCTGCGGCTATGACAGTGACATGACAGCGTGCTCCTTTCTCAACACCCTCTGGAAAGTTGTTGAAAGTGTTGGCTTCCAGTCCATTCGGTGGGGCGATGAGGGAGACTTCATTGTGATTGAGGAGGCGTTCTTCAGAGCGGAAGTACTGGCCAGAGGAGGAACTCTCCAAGTCTTTGATGTTGGCAACATGAAAGATTTTGTCCGTCGCCTTCATCAGCATGGCTTCTACATCACGGACGCCGATTTGCCAACGTCTGCCCCATGTGCTCAGTTCCTAGCACAGGGAGCATCAATTTCCACTCCGAGCCAGGTACGTAGTCCCTCTAGCTGTGAGATGGCTCTCGGCACAGCGGCATTGGTGGCCAGCCAGTGCTAAGTGAGGTGGCTGACAGCCGGTGACACTTGGGTACTTGTGCTTCTGAGAACCCTCCATTGCCTCCTCTGCGGCTGGCAAATGAGAGAAATGCAAGCAGGGGTGGTTGTTACAAGGGCCGCTCTGCACGTAGTGCCTCCTCGTTTATGTTGGCCCACGAGAGGTGGCAGCACAGGGGCAGTGTGACAGAATGGCACGGGACGTGGCTGTGCGTATGAAACAAAGGTGTGCAACTGAATTCTTTCGTGTGGAAACGGCCCCTGAGAGTCCGCTCCGACGGTCTCTTGAGATTCCAATTCCTATGTCTTGTATCTTTGTTTTCCCAGTCTTGAAATGGTGGTGACTAACTCTTCCTCTTTGCATTTTGCAGGTACTCTGCTACTATCATCCCTATTTCCAGAGAGATTGTCTCCAGTGCCAAAGAAGATTCAAGCGGAGTCTTGGAGCTAGGAGGAGACCAGCTTCCTCCTTGCAGGCCTTCCAGTGGGGTTGGCAGGAGGGCCAGGAGAGCAGAAGCGGACGTCCAGCACCAAGCGGTCCTTTTCCACCGGGGCTGAGACCCGATAGCGGAGCTGGGGGTGATGGAGTTGGACGCCGCTACAACTTGCGCCCCAGGAAGCGCTGCCGATGGCAGCAGTAGTGTAGGAGATAGTGTAGAGTCGTAGTTTAGACAATAAACCTTTAAAATGCTTCTCCCTTGTCCCGTCCTGTTTCTTCGGTCTGACTGAAGGCTACTCTTCCTACGCCCAAGAGGGCGGGGGGTGCCTTCAGGGAGCCTTCCATGAGTTTCCCCCATCCCCGCCCCGTGGGTTTTGGCAAAGGTGCCAAACGCAAAGCAGGCACTGTGCGAAGCAAGCCTGATGCACGGAGGGATGGGAGCACGGGGCGTGCAGGTGTGCAGCTGGAGCAGCGCAAAGTGCCTGGTCCCTCTGCCTGCCTGTCCTCTGGGGGTGGGTGGGTGGGTGCCGCGGTGGCCCAGGGACAGGAGGTGTGCCGTCCTCGCTGTGCACTTCCTTCTGGCCCGCGTGTACTTGGAGGAAGTACGGCAGCTTCAAGCGGTTCAGTTTCTAGGATGGCTTCTAGGATGTGGCTCCTGGGCCAATCAGCAGGCTCCTTGGGTTACGCTTGAGGTAGCCCTTATCTTTCCCATTCTTCGTGCTCAACTACTTCTGCCCTTTTAGGAATAAAGCCAATGAGCCCTTCATTCACTGGTGTAACTGGTATGTGCCCCTGTACCAAAGTAAGAGTGGATGCAGGCTCCTTTGATGACCCCCTCTAGCTGGAGAGAACCCACCTCATCAGAGGGAATGCTTTAGACAGCATATATGGCCTTGTGTTACATCGCTGCTACTTGTGGCTTGCTTCACCTGCAGACCCGGTGATGAAGTGCACGTTGCGTGCATTGGACTCACTTCCAATTGTGTCAGACAAAGCGAAGCTGCAAAGGGCTGGTATTTGTCTGTGCTAACAGGAGGTTCACGTGCAGAACGTGTTGGAGTGCAATCATTTGTGCTATAGCAAATGCCTGCCTTCCTGGGACAAGGAGTTGGAGCGCAGCACAGCTTAGTCTGTTTGTCACAGAAGGCGCGTGAGGAGGTTGTGTTGAAGTCTGCCACTGTATCCTTTGCTTACAGAGGAGGGACTCAAACACTTGCGGAGGAGCTTTAAAGAGATACTCTATTTGTCTTCAGTAGAGGAAAAAAAGAGGTGTGAAGTAGGTGATGAGGCGCCGGTGGACTTGGAGCTTGAAAAGAATGGAAACGTTTTCATCAAGACATCAGGAGAAGGGGGCAAATGTTACCAAGTATTTCCCAAACTCTCAAAAGTGTTTTCTCTTTGCAGAGTGGGGGGAGGGAGGACGGTCGTGTAACGTGGGAGCTCTGCAAAGGGAACAAAAGATTGCCGCTCAGAAAACGCCCTCTCCTGTTGCCTGTGCTGCTGGTTTGATGGGGAAAAGCAGGCTCGTGCATTCCCTATTGCATTGACACATATTCCACTGCCAAGGGGTGCAGAGAAATGCAGCACTTACAAGCTAGATATCCATGTCATTTATTGCTTGCTGTGCTTCCACGTGAGGGAACCTTTGACTCTCTACCTCTTTGAAGGGTTTCTCACTCAATCAGTGCCTAGATATGAGAATTCCTCAGAGGAGCTCTTCTTTCCTCTGATGATCTTTCTGTTGGCCACCTGCTCTTCATGATGTGCTCTTGTAAAAATTGGGCAATTTAGAGGGAAGGGAAGGATCTTGGATTACGGGACGGTTGGAGAAATCAAAGAGAAGTGTGTTCACCATGTGCTAATCACCATCTTGGCTTGCTCTGAACCACGGAGTGACCAGTACAAGACAAGACCGTGGTGTCTAAGCATGATTCCTCTTGAATTTTCCCTAACAGGGGAGCACAGGACAGGAGAAGTACGAATGAATCTCTACAGAAGAAGGGATCGGAGGAATTCCTTCGTCTTTATCACA